CGTCCCTTATGTGACGTCATTTTAGTGTCCACTGACTGACTGACAGACAACACACTACTACATACTGGTACGAGTGGTAAAAACAGGTGAGCCTTCCTTGCGGCCTTCAGCTCTTTTTAAGGGAGATTATAGTTTATTGAACTTTGTTGTTCTATGCAAGAAGTTTTTGAAAAATAGCAATTTTCGTAACACAAAACCCAATAATTTTTTTTTATTTCCAAGCACCAAGCATTTTACACAATTATATAACTTTCAATGACTATATGTTGTATTTCAATATAAAATTCATTGGGTACTGATTAGCTTCCATTAAAACCTCGTCAGCCTTTAGATGTTATTTTCAACATAGCTTACTTTCTTATATGCTAGAGTAAGTTATTACAATATCTGCAGTAACTTAATTTGTAAATCGGGTCCTCTTCCTCTGTAACTTAGTTGAATAATGTACTTTAATAACAGATGTATATTTTCTGGTATGTATAACCCATAAAATAATATCCAGATTAGAAAACAAATCAATTAATTCTAAAGTGGTGCTGTTCTTCAAAATGTATGTTTATTTGTTTTTTAATTTCGCGCAAAGCTACACGAGGACTATCTGCTCTAGCCGCCCCCAATTTAGCAGTGTAAGGCTAGATGGAAGGCAGCTAGTCATCACCACCCACCGCCAACTCTTGGGCTACTCTTTTACCAACGAATAGTGGGATTGTACGTCACATTATAACGCCCCCACGGATGAAAGGGCGAGCATGTTTGGTGTATCGGGGATTCGAACCCTCGACCCTCAGATTGCAAGTCGAGCGCACTAACCACCTAGCCATGTCTTCAAAATGTAATTAATACTTTTGCAGTTTTCAAATTGCCCTTAATTAATGTCTACCTCCCAAATTTTCCATTGAAGTATAGGAGAGAAAGAAAAAAAAACAGAAAAGTAGTCAAAAAAGGTAGCAATTTTGGCTTTTCCCGTGATTATGAAGATTAAATTCAGGGTTCGATCCCTACACTGTGGAGAGGACAGGTAGACCACTGTGCAACTTTGCGTTTGAAAAGCAAACAGCACTTTTTTTTTCTCGAAAAGCAAAATAAAACTTTCTGATTTCAAACAATATGTATATACTAGCGCACCCGTAAGTTCATGGCCCACATTTTTACAGGGCTGCTATAATGCAAATTTAATGCTTAAACTACTATTTTGTACTTTCTCAGTTCCACGATTATTGCCGCTATAATGCAAATTTAATTTCTTTAACAAAGTTACGAACGATAATTAGTAGGCCTACTTATTTACGTGTTCTAATGTAAATGAATGCCAAATTTGGGGAGCGCTTTCGGGAAATCCCCGTTAAAGTGTTTTTGCAAAATACCCGGGTTTCCTGAAGGGTTAGGTGAAAAGTTTTACCTTTATGCAAAACTCGGGGCCGAGACGATTAGTTTGGCACCATTTAAAAGTCGATGCAGCCAGCGGTTTAAGAAGAGTTACATTACACACAGACACTGAATTTTGTTATAAAGATATATTTAAGTAATTCACCACATTGGTTCATTTGTTTTTTAAGTAGCTGTCTGTAGCATGCCGGCAAACCGTATGTTTCTTATCCCCTTTTAGGTTAATATAGAAAGTTTTTTAATTTTCTTTTATTCACGCATATGTTATTTTAACATAGAGCATCAGTTTAGGAAGTCCTTAAAATCCTTTCACTCTACTACCTATTGTTCTAGGTCTTCCACTTGAGGTATTACTTTTGTCTTCCCATGGAAAAAGACTCCTGTAAAGTTGTACATACTGTGTGAAAGAAGATCGTGATCTTTTCCACTGGCAGGTCAGGTAATATCTCTAGGATATAACCTCCCTTATTTTGTTTAATGGGAATAACCAACAGTCATGTAGGAAGCGTACGCATCTTGAGTAGACTAACGTTATTGTTTTGTCTATATAATACAATATTTACTCAGGCTGGTACAACCAATTTTCAAGTGTAAACTTCTAAAATACAGATAGCTTTCTCCAGTAGTTTCCCGCTAAAAATCCGGGGTTCGATTCTCTGCTGTAGGCACAGCAGATAGCTCAATGCCTGTGTGATCTTCTAGGCGAGTTTTAGTTTCCCTTGATACCCTTTTCCTAGTGGGTTATAGTCACCAGGAGAGAGAGCCGTACTCAAATACAAACCCATTAGCATTTCCGTGCGTGTTACTGACCACCTGTGTTACGATTCATACGCTAGTTTGTGAGCAGGAGTATGAATACAGTTGCAAACATGGCACATCTGAGATCCCAGAAGGATCCAAAAACATTAAATTCAATGTCATATTCGAGTTCAGTGAACCTGAAAACCTAACCCTAGACCACATCATGCCTTAGTGATTTTCCGGACGCGTTTTAGCCCATCTTGATACTCCTGAGCAAGGGACTAGCTCCTATAGATAAGGAAATCCACAGATCAAGCCAAATCTGCCTACCAAGTTTGATCCTGCTAGCGAGAGACTTGTGAGAAAAGTTAGCTGAAAATAAATATATTATAAAGCTACAGCCTGAATTATTATAGGATAACAAGTTTCAAATATAATAGAAAAGCTGTCAGCTGACCCTATGAATCATTGTATAACAACACTTAACACACTAAGCAGTTCAGCTGAGGAAAATTCATACATAACCTGAATTATTATAGGATGGCAGGCAAGTAGCTAGACCTAGATACCTTACGATTGAATTGTTTTATAAAAGTGTGAACGTTTAAATAAAGTCGTATTTATATCTAAAAAGAGAGTAAGTAGCTTTATATGAATAGAAGGTAAGTAACTAACATAAATTTATGCTTAAAGCTGAATAAGTTTAGGTAGCTAGTACTTGCTCTGTTCTATATGAATATGGATGTGGAAATATAGTAGCATTTATTTGTAGAAATATAGAAGACGAGTAGGTATATATGAATAGGAGGCAAGTACCTAGATTAGGCAAGTAATTAGATCTAAACGTCAAGTAATTAAGCAGATTTCTGTAGATTGATGTAATTCAGAAAGTTAAGGGGAAAGTTATGTTTATTGTACGGATAAGAAATGACTGTTTTTATGTATACAGTAGAAGTTTTATGTGGTAAGATACGAAGTGAATATATCTATGTATATAGTAGTAGTTTTATGGAGTTAGGTAAAAAGTGGATATTATATGTGGTAAGGTAAAAAGAAGTACTTTGATTCCGTTAAACTGCTAAAAGTACGTACAAGTTTAACTATAAAATGAAGATGGCAGCTTATCACCTAAAAGCATAGTATATAAATAAAAACGATTGAAAAACCTTTGGAGCTTGACAATTAACAAATTACCACTGGATTCCTGGATGATTAAAACAAAAAAGTATATTTGTGAAGTATACCATATTTGCTCATGTATAAGACGACCATGGATTTTTTTGAACAAATTAAGTGTATTTCTTTAAGGTTCGGTGTATAGTACGACCTCTATTGTCAAGCAAATCTACGATGTTACTTTTGTAAGGACATTCTTAGAAGATATTTGAAATTGTGCAAACCTGCTCTCTGGGGTAATCCATACAACCACACAACCCTGCTCTTTGGGGTAATCCATACAACCACACAAACCTGCTCTCTGGGCTAATCCATACAACCACACAAATCTGCTCTCTGGGGTAATCCATACAACCACACAACCCTGCTCTCTGGGGTAATCCATACAACCACACAACCCTGCTCTCTGGGGTAATCCATACAACAACACAAAC